GTACACACTAAGAATACAATAGCAAAAATATATGAATTAAAATGCAATGATTGAGATTATGTCTGTCTGTCTGTCTATTTTTGACATAGAACTTTGCACCGATGTGCACCAATCAAGTCACCACACTCCCTCCACTCCATGTAGCACACAAAGCAACAGAAGAAAGTAGAAGAAATGCATAATAGAGAGACAGTAAACAGAGGTGTGAGACAAAGGAATAGTAATAACGAAGAACAATATAGTTTCATTGGAAATCATAAGTCACAAGGAGTGGATGCATCTGCGCCAACCAGCCATTCATTGATAACGAGGCTTTTGAGCTATATCACCAATTGTCTCCAGCCTTCATTGTTTTTTACCGTCATCCTGAGGACACCAACCAGTCAGGAAGCCAGTCTACACCTTCGTACGTGTCTGGCTGGCTGGCTTAAACTAACTGTTGTGGATTTCACTGACTGGTGCCATGTTTAGTTTGACCGCTGCTAACTCTCTCTTTTCCAGCCTGACCCTATGTCAGCTAACATTGCCCATTGTCGAGGAAGGCGATGGTTAGGCACGCATGCGAAACACATGTCCTAACCATCTCAGTCGATGTAATTTCACAGTCTCGCCAATTGGTTTCCCCTCCTACAAACCTAGCACTCGACCGACGCCTAACATCAATATTGCTCACTTCACAAGGGAGATAGATCGCAGGGACCTATGGTCGAAGACAGCTAATCTTCGATTATGCATGCGTAAGAGAGGAGGAACTTGAAAGCAAATTAATCTAATAGTAAAGCATAAACAGGTGCCCGAAGAGAGTTCGAAAAACTTCAAAAAATCCCGAATTAGAAAACAAATCGGTTATGGCATCAAGCTTGATTAAAAAAAGGGGGCACAAGAACGACTTTGAAAAAACCACAGTTCTGCAGAAAAATTCTGCCACATATACAGAGAGAGAGGCCTTATACATAAACGAATCTTACAATACTGAATAGACAGGACAAAGTGATTTCACCAAATTCATAACAAATCACATATTTCCATCTCCGTAATAATCATGTCCAGTTTTATATATCTTTACCATTTAAAGCATCTCATTTCACCAGTGGCCTTTGTTCGAAAAGCAAAAAACAACGATCGAATATTAATATGAAATTAGCACACAAACACACACACCTCGTTTGCAATGTATACAGAAAAAATTATTTATTATTTTCGTTTTACTTTGATGACTTCAAAACTCAGACACGATTGAGCAAGGATTCTAAATGCTGAATGTGACTGCCAATTTATATAAATACCTTTGATGTTTTCAATCCTGTTTATTTGTTGTCTCTAAGAAAGCTCGACTGAATTTCCGGACAAACGTTGAAACTATTTACTACTGAGATCATCATCAGTACTAATTCCATACAAGGAAGGAACCTCGGAAACCACCTTACAGCGGAGAATTCTTAACAAGGCAGGCAGGAATAAAAGTGACTGGCATTCAAACCAAACACAAACTCAATTAGAAACAAGCTTTGTCGGTTGAAGGATCACTCCTGTGGAGCCTTTAAAACAAAACAATTTCGTTTATCTAATATCCTGACTGTGATGATTGTCAGGTCAAACTAGTAGAACAGGGTCAGTCAGTGAGTTAAACTAGCCGAGCAGCATAAAAACCTAGCAGGAAAATCTAGATTGGTTGACCCGAATAAGATAAGAAATCTAGAAAATAGTTCAGCTATCGCAAGCACTACATGTAGTTACACACAACCATACAATAGGCTGGAGGGGTAAGGTTGACTATTTTACAATCTCATGTCACAGCTGTTGCTGCTGCTGGATTCAACATAGAACTTGGCACCGGAGTGCAGCAGTTCGAGTTGCCACGTTCCAAATAGCACACAAAGGCAGACAAGAAAATGAGAGAAGAGAATCAATAGAATTTAGATAAGTATGAGTGAAACAGAATGAGTAATGGTAGAAAAGGAATATGAAGGTTAAAGAGACTGAATACATCTGCCTAAGCCATTGACAACGATTTTGAGCCATGTCACCTATTGTCTGTCTCCAGCCATTGATTCTTAGAGTCCCGAGGGTGGGCCCCAACCACCCGGAAGTCTGCATCTCCCTACCTGACTGACTCAGTTTAACTGTCAAGGATTTCATGGATTGATGAGGCCATGTTTTTGTTTGGCATGGCACCGCTTACTCTTTTCCAACTTGCACCTATATCAGCTAGTAATGCCCGTCGGGAGGGGGAGGCGATGGTTAGGCATGTGCATCACGTGACCTAGCCATCTCAATCTATGTAACTTCATAGCCTCTTCGAGTGATTTTCCCTCTTTACCCAACACTACGCCTAACGTCATGTCACAGGGTGGCGAGTGGGGAAGATTGACAACAGAAGCTTTGTTGATCGAATCAACTGCAAATCAACACGTGTAATAGGAATGATTCAACACTTGTCCAGCTGGATGTCGGGAAAATTCTACTACACAAATGACGACGACAAATAGGAGAGAAGAAAGAAAACTATAAAACTCAAGTTTTGAAGTCGTGTGATTATAATTGATGAAACGATTATGAACAATAATGAATTGTGTTAGAAACTTTGTCATCCAGTTAATACTAATACTGTTTCACTGACTGTGTGATACATATAATAAACAAACTAATATGGAATTAGAATGTACGACAACTGGTCAACACAGACTGACTGACTGAATCATGTAGTGAATTTTTAAAAGTACACTATTCCAATTCACAAATATAAGTTGTGCGACAAGTGTGATACTGGAAATAGCACTTGTAAGTTTAAGCTTTAGACATCAGATGTTTTGTTCCTTACCCCCCCCCCCGCCCATTTAACGACGCATTTATATGACTGGCAGATAATTAACTACCACAGTGTCACAGCATATATCATGCGCCTCCAAAGCTTCAGGATGGTCGGGGGTGGGTGCCTTGCGCTGCGGGTTGGCCACCCCTCCGCACACCTCTTGAAATGCTCCCATATGACCGGGCGTCTTACATAGCCTCTCCTGAGGAAGTCCTACTCACTGCCTTCACGTGGCAGAGGTGTTTTCCACTAAAGTGAGAGGGCGAAAGCGGATGCCCGGCGCTCTTCACCGGGTTGACTGTCCATTGGATGACAGTCTAGGGGAGATGGCTAAATCCTGATTCCAAACCTCCAACGACTGGCGTATGAAGCTCACTGAAGCTCACCGGCAGACGTATGGACAAAGGGCTTGTTGCATATCCTGGATGTTTGGCCCCATTCAAAACGGCATATGAACCGAACTCCGGTCACCGGCTGCCAATAGATTGTGGACTCCCTACTCCACTCCTACTGCCTTGTAGGTCACACTTGGTTGTGTAAAGGCTAGAGCTGCACTCTCAAACAAAAGGCCGAGCGATTCTGGGGACATCACTCGTACCAAATTCCCATGAAACTTCATGAACTCTCTCCAACAACGTCGCCTTCGGTGGTTTGGCCATGTTCTGCGCCGACCAGATGACGATCTGGTCAAATCAGTTCTTAATCCCTCGCTATTACCATCTTGGCGATGTCGCAGGGGTGGACAGCTGAAAACATGGCTTGGTACAGTCAAGGCTGATATGGAGTGCCTGGGGCTACAAACCGTCTACGGACTCCGTCTGTGGAACAAGAATTGGATAACCCTGTCGCAAAACCTTGCATCAGATCGCCGCGCCTGAGCAGCGATGATTCGAGATGTTCATGAAGCCGGCTCATCCTCCCGTAGGAGATAGCCGAAGTAAAGTAAGTATATATCATGCACAACCAAAAAGGTTAATATAAATGTCAATAGCATTACATCATTAAAAGTCAACATGGAAAAGTGAACGTAACACGAAATATCATTACGATATAAAATAAAAAGGCCTTCGTTTTTTCGGCTTATCGATTTTTATCAATGAACTCATTCGGACACATTTTTGACATGCTTTATGTAAATCACAACATACTAACATTGGAAACACAATACGTCAATTGAGTTACCTCTGGTGAGGTCAAGACTGGAAAACTGCATCCAGGACGCCAGCCCTTGTCTAAAAGGGGACTCACACATTCTAGAAAGGGTTCAAAGGAAGGCAACACGTATGGTTCTCGGAATGACTAATTTATCATGCGAGGAAAGACTAGACAGTTTAAATCTCTTCTCCTTGTCATACCGTAGGCAGAGAGGAGATTTAATCACAATGTTTAAAATTTTAAATAATGACTACGGACCTGACCTATTCTCTCTTTTTCTTCCCACCAGGTCGGAACAACTTAGAGGACATAGCAGGAGAGCTCAAAGGCCAAGAAGAAATCATATTGCTGTTGAGTACTGGTTCTCACACCGAGTCATAAACTCTTGGAACCGACCGACTCCCAGAAGAAGTGGTGTCTCCAACCTCAACTGATTCGTTCAAGAAGGGTTTGGACAACTACAGAAATTTACTAAAAAAGGATTAACATAGGCTCCAAGCCTTCTATCCTCAACCAATAAATCTCTTAGTAATTACATGTTATTTGCAAAACCCTTTAAGGCATTTCTGAATTTGTAGTTTATCAGAATTCTACCGTTTTCAATGCATAGAAGACAGAGTTAGTAGCAACTCAACCATGAACTCAACCAGTCAATCAGTTAATGAAGTAACACCTCATAATAGCAGATTGTGGAAGCCATGGAGCAAGCTTTAAAAAATTCACAGAACAGAGTGGAGTGGATATGAGCTGCTAAAGCCGAGTGTTTCACTCGGAACCCCCCAAGGGAATAATAGTAATAGAAATAATAGCTTAAATGCAAAACAAACAGCAGCAAAGTGACACCAACAAAACTGTTAAAATCCTACTAAACAAATATTTCAATTCTAATGTTAACAGAGCATGTATATACCATTCTTTAATGAAAATTTTGACAACATATACTTGCGCTAAGTAATCACTGGTGACAAAACTACTTTAAATAAAAAGAACAGAACTAACAGCATAAAAGATGATTAATTAGGTTAACGCTCACCTTCTTAAAGTCCACGGTATGATATCAACATCGAGTATTGATGACACCAAGTGAAAATCACTGAGCACACTAATAACAGGCTTTTCAGATCGACGATGTTTGCCACTACTACCGAAATTGCGAAGAGTATTAGCTGCACCCCGATGGATAAGACTGTGTTTAGTAGTTTTGTAACCGTATAGCTCTCCATAACTCTCACCTAGCCCAGATAATAAAATACATAAACACCCCCGACATACCCTTTCTTTGCAGTAAAACTCTTAGTAGAGACTTCGAGGAATTAACAGCCACTTCGAAATTTTTGTTGTTGCTGATAGGTAATAAGTCTGAATTCTTCGGTTCTACATACTGGATAACAAACGGGATGTTGAAAAGCATATGTATCCTCTCAAGTAGGGAATAAAAAGCACTATATTGTAGTGAATCTTCTACCAGAAAACTGAAGCGTCGAAATTCAGCATCAAACTAAATAATAAACTATTTCTTATTGTGTTATAATACCTTGCTTTTGACCTCCACAAGCCTACCAACTTCCATTTCCCACAATACTCGAATGACGCTCTGAAAAACCACTTTCAAATTACCCGCATATATGTATATTCAAATATCCAATGTTTCAATTTGGAGTGGTCGGCTGGACTTATCCGGAATGTTGGTTGAAATTGTGCTTGGTAAATTTTATTTGTCAATAGTTTTCAATTTATTTGTGTTATATGTTTTCTGGATTGATAGGATTCCTCATTTCTTGACTAGTCATGTCGGTGTCCAAGTTATGTGGTCCTCGGCACACTCTTGGTATATTAATAATAATAATGATTTACTTTATTCCAAAAGCAGTATTTGTGATACAGAATGGAATTTTCAGCATTAATCACAATATTGCATCTAATTTCCTCAAATTATAAATAAAATTATTCACACAGAAAATTTTTCTACATTTACAATAGGGTTAATATAAAGAAAAATAGAAAACATGCAGCATTTAAATGGAAATAATAGTAATGATAGCAGCTAAGGTAATGATAATAATACAAGTGGAAATTGCCGTGGGCTTATTTCACACAGTATTGTCGATGCGGTATACAAATCCTTACATGATTAAAAATATTGAATATAATGTTCTCTTTACATGATATGGTGAGGGGAAAAAGAAAGATTACAGCAGTCATAGAGATAAGTTGGTGTTTGCAGTTATGAAAGTGAAAACAAAGAATCAACAGGACCATAAGTATAATAGAAATAATAAAAGTAAAACTTGAAGGTATATAAGGATGGATGGAGGAGATTGTTTATTTACTAAATGAAAAAAGGTTAGTCAATTCTTGCCTGACGCCATTTTCATCACATAAAATACGTGCCAAGTATGGTATCATAGAATTTTTATACTTAGACGTGCGAGCATACAGTTTTCAGAAGTTACTTCTTGTTCTACCTGAGGAGATGCAAGGTGAAAGGTGAGGGTAAAGTGGATGCTCCAAGTCAGACAAAATCCCTTTAGCAAATTTACTGCACGAAGTCAAATGCCTATCGACAACGACGTTAACTATGTGGTCCACTGGGACACCACTCATCCTACTGACAGTCTTCAGTATTCTACGAATTGTGACAAAGTCCTTTTTAAGCAAACCAGGAAAGAATAAAGGGGTGAACAATAAAGAAGAATAGGTAGGATGCAAGAGTTTATGAACTGTAAGAGGAGGGGTTGAGTTATACCCGAGTGCCTTAACTTCTTAATGTAAAATGTAAGGCGGAATATTTTACTGGAGATCGCTGAGACATGGGAAGACCAGGAGAGATCAGAAGAGAGAATAAGTCCAAGATACCTAATTTCTGATTTAATTCCTATATCGTTGTCATCAATCTTACAACTGTCATGAGAATCGACGGCTTCTTTTAACTGTCGTTTACATCTTAAGCTGAAATTAACAGTTTGACATTTAGAGGGGTTCACTTTAAGACCGTTAGACTCAGACCATTTACTGACTCCCGACAGAAAGCTATTTATTTTGGTACAATCTAGCTGGGAGTTAACAGCCATTGAAACAGTTAAGTCATCAGCGTACTTCACAAAGTTTATTTCATCAGACTGAGGCAAGTCATGTAAGAAGAAAGAAAAAAGAAAAGGAGAAAGGACAGCGCCTTGAGGGACACCAGCTTCAGTAGGCAACGAAGTTGAAGACTTCCCTTTATACACGGTGTACTGCTTTCTTTCTGAGAAATAAGAATGTAACCAGTTAACAGCCCAACATTCTGTTTGACTTACAGCAAGTTTATTTAACAAGATGTCCCTAGGGACCGAGTCAAAAGCAGATGTATGGTCTAGGAAGGCACAACGAACAAATTTAGCCCCTTTGTCTAGACTGGAAGCAATGTTATGATATAAGACGGCGGCTGCATCTAAAGTGCTTCTACTGTGCTTATAGGCAAACTGTTTTGGGTCATTAAAGGATTTAAGAGAGGGTACAAGACTAAGTAAAAGTAGTTTCTCCATAGTTTTCAAAAAAGGAGAGGTAATAGCAATGGGTCTAAATTTGGCACATGCTCCAGTAGACAATTTGGGTATGGGTACAACTTTAATGTCTTTCCAAACAGCAGGCACAATATTACTGGAAAAAGATTTGTTAAACAGATCAGTGAGAAGGTAACATAGAATATCAGAACATTTTTTGAAAATAATACTAGGTACATGATCTGGACCTAAGCTCTGGGAAGGGTTCAGAGACTTGAGGCACTTTTGAACATCATTTGTGTTAAAACCTGGAAAGGGGCCATTATTAACACTAGTGATACTGGGAAGCATGGAATTTGAGGGAGAATAAATAAAAGATTTATTAAGAGTACATACATCAGAGGAACACGGAATATTGTTAATCTGCTTACCACCAGTGATTTCCTTAAATAGTTTCCACATATTTGAAGCATTTTTGCAGGATAGGAATTTCTGGTTATATATAACATTCAATCTCTGCATTTCAGACTTGATAAGGAAGTTAGTTCTTTTTACGCCACTTTTATCTTTCATTTTATATAGCTTTTCCTTCTCTCTACGCAGCTTTTTAAGTTGAGGGGAGGAGAAACGGTCGAATTTGACGAATAGTGTTTCTTTTGGGCAGCAGATTTCAAAACAGAATTTCAGATAAGACGTAATATTAGGGATAGTGTTATCAAGTGAAACATCATTAAACAGATCCCATCTTGTGTCACTGAGCATGTTTCTAAGATGTTGTACATTCTCATTTGAGTAACATCTGTGAACGACTTTCTTGGACAAGTTAGAGAAGGCTTTTTTGTGTAACTTTCCGTAAACTTTAGGTAGAACTCGTACAATACAGTGGTCAGAGTTTGAGAGTGGAGCTCTTTTACGAGCTTCGTATATTCCAGAATCATTTATGAATACTAAATCAAGCGAAGTATCTTGTCGAGTTGGGAAGTTAACCACATTTTCATGACCCAGCAGTGTAATAAAACTGTAGTCACTAGCGTTGAAGTCACCAGTCACTACAGACAAGGAGTTACCAAACGAAGAAGCAGCAAAAATAGTGAATTCGTCAGCAAACATCGATAGTTCTGAGGGACTGCAAGAAGGTGTGACATAGATATTTGTGACAAAAATGCAGTTATACTTGGATAAGTGTTTAGGTCGGCATTTAACAGTTATACAATCAATATTGTCATTTGAGAATTTGAAGCAGACGTTGTTGGCAGTAGACCACTGAGAGTTAATAAAAGTGGCAACACATCCACCTCTTTTCTTCTTTGAGCTGCATCGGTCTTGTCTGTACATTGTGAAATCAGGTAAAGAGACCAAATTATCGTCATATGAATCGTGCAGCCAAGTTTCTTGAAGAGTAATTACAGCAGTGTTACAATATACATTTGAGTATAATAGAGAATGCAAATAATTAATCTTGTTTGGTAGAGATCTGCAATTTGTGCTCATAATCACAGGAACAGTCATCAAAAGCATTGGAGTACGCTTTAAAGCTCGTTGCCATCCACCATGAGGCTTTTTCTTAAGTTTCTTAGAAACGAGTAAATTAGCCGGTTGGAAACGTTTTAAATAGCCGCGTGAGTAAACAATGAGATTAGGACACATAATAGAATGATTAAAATAAAACACATACGAGGAAATAGATGCAATATATAGGATGGAAATTTTGGTAGCTCAAGATTTAAGCAGGCCGCCGGAAGTATGTTGGTTGCAATGATGAGTATTTCAGGTGTACTGTGTCAAAATATCGCTATAATGAGGAAGATGGTATAGTTAGAGGGTAATGTCGTCTACACAAATATTTTACTCCCGGCCTAGTGTCATTCAATGAAGCCTTTATGTCTCAGGATAGCAATGTAGCTATTTTCGTGCGAAGGACAGTACTGTTGGACAAGTGAATGCCATCTGTACATGAGAATCACCCATAAATGCTATCATAACCTTCTGTAGCAGCAGGAGTTATCATGTAGATGTGTCTTTCACCGTATGCGTATTTGGACAGGAGTTATTGTAAGTTGTAAGGTCATCTCTAAGTGGATTTAATATATATTTGCAGTGATTGGCACAGTACAATATAGGTTATTTTGATTCACCGTATAAAAGATACCTCAAATTTATTAATATTGTGCCACTGTCTGCTTAACTGACTGCTAGACTAACAAATTTAAGTGGTTCTCATGATTGTTGCAATTGCAGTGCGTTGGAGAAGGCAATAACTCCTTTAATTTTCCTCACTGTTTCACTTAATGTGTTAACTAAGTGTATAGCAATATAAAACAAATGGATTGTGTTGATTATGAGAACTAAATGCAGTTAGCTCTATTATTATTAATCTACCATCTGTTTTACCATTCCCATTGACACTGTAAACTTAATGCCACAATGTTTTTGACCACCAATAGTGGAGATGAATTTCTCCTGAAATATCCATTGGCATGAAGCAGTACAGGTGCAGTGGCACGATGGAATGCCTGAACTGCATTATGTGGCATTGTTATCCCCATCAACACAACAGGTCTGTGTATCTTACAATATTTTAAGTTTTTCTCTATACTGTTAACACTGTGCACAGCTGCTTAGAGTTGAGGCATGTTCAGCTTATATTTGATGACTGCAGTTTCCTAAAGATGAGAATGTAATTCCATAGAACTGTGCTCACTAGACACTAATGGGATTGTGGATCAATTTCTAAGTTACGCATTTGAAATACTTCCTTTAATGTAACGTATTTAGTGCGAAGTTGACCTGCATGTAATCTTCATGAGAGAATGACGCCTCAACAGTGTGGATGTTTCAGATGGCAATGAGCTAAGAAGTAATTTTTATTTAATTCCAATCTGCCATTGAATCATGTGATGTCATCTAATATCCATCATTTTTATGATCAACAACCGCAGCATTTGCATGTCTACTTTGTTAAGTATACGGATGACCTGTTTCAATGCCTGTAAACTCTCAGCTAGACTGTACTAAGATGAACAGCTTTCTATTAGGAGTCAATAAATGACCTGAAACTGAATCCTTCCAAATATCAGATGTAATTTCA